TCTCATAAATTCTCATAAGTTTATTATATGTGTTCGAAATTATGTTCATATGAATGCACCTGTTCCCCCCCCCCCCCCCCCCCCCCCCCCCCCCAATTGTTATGTGGTTGTTAGCATATAGCCGATCGAACCTTTCAAAATGCAGAGTAGTTTTCACACAATGTCGGATTTCAAAGTTACTTTGAAGTTAGGGGTATAATTGTGCATTTACGCAACAAAATACAGTAGTTTTCGCAAAATACAGAGTGGTTGTCGTCTCAACAAAATATAGATAATTGAGCAGGAAGTTCGTCTCAACAAAATACAGAGTGGTTTTCGTGTTTTTCTAATACAATGCTGCAAACAATGTGTGGTTTCTAAGTGTTTGTGGTTTCAGGGTGTTATTTACAAAATAAAAAAAAATGTATGTGTTTTTGAATAATGTGGTTTTGATTAATGCAATAATGGTAACTATTTTTTTAGGTTTTTAGTTATAACTAACACCACTTAATTGTAAAACACCTAATGAGAATTGTATAACTGATTTGCCTTGCAGGACTCAATCCGCAGGAGATGTGATGGGATGTTCGATCCACTTGCCGACATGTGCAATTATGATATCTTTTTCATACAGAGTGGTTTTTATGTTGACATATTGTTATACAGAGTGGTTTTCAAGTTACATAGTTGTTATACAGAGTGGCTTTCATATTATATAGTTGTTATATAGAGTGGTTTTCATGTTTATATATGTGTTTATACAGAGTGATTTTCATGTTTATATAGAGGGTTTTTATTTAAAAAAACTGGAAAGAAAATAAAAAACACTATTTTTGAAAAAAAAATGAAATTAAGAAAATAGAAAAACCATGAAAAATGAAAATAAAAATAAAATCATTTTTTTAAATTAAAATAAAAACATGAAAAATATATAAATAAGAAAAAATAATTTAAAAAAATTATAATAATTACAAAATTTTCTTTTAAATCAAAATAAAGAAAACCATTAAAAAAAATAAAAAAGAAAAGGAAAAAAAAGGAATTGGCGTGATGAGGGGAATAATTTTTGGAGAAGATTTGGGTGTAGATTATAGGTATAATTTTTTTTAAACTAAATAATTATATTAGTTAATAATTAGTGGGGCATATATGATTTTTCAGGCCCATTGAATTTATCTCAAATATCATTTATAAATAAAGGATTTATCAAGAATTAAAATCCTAATGAAGGGTGTTTGGCATATAGCCCCTATTAAATAAGAAATAAAAAAAACACGACATAAATAACACTCACATTGTCAATGGCACTTGCTCCGCTTCTTGGCCTCAAACTTATTTGAGCAACACATTCATCAAATCTTGTACAACTTTGATTGATTTTCGTCCAGTGGGATTTCAGACTTTTTGATGTTCTCTTTTCACCTCCATCAGACATCAACTTGTGAATTTTTTCTTGTATTCGCTTCCACATTGTAGTTGTTGGTTGATTTTTTCCAATAAGTGGATATTTACTAATCGCTATATAAGTTCGGCATAAAGATGCATCCTCTTCAGAAGAAAACTTATAGCCCCTTGAACTTCCTTCAAGATCTTCCATTACTGTTAAAAAAAAATTAAATAGTAAATAATTAAACTAAATATAAACGAATTAAATTTATTAAACCAAAAAACAAAATAAACTAATTACTCAAGAAAAAAAAAAAAGAAAAAAGACTAATTAAGTATTTAATAATTATAAGATTTGTAAAACCCCACTCATTGTGACAGCCCTTTCACCTCCACATGTTTTTTTTTTTTCTAAGCCTAACGCCTCTCATTCTCCCAATTTACTCTCTGTTTTTACAACCGAGCGAGTAACTGAGAGAATAAAAAAAAAATTGTGCTGCTAATTTCTTCAAGAATTGAAGTAAAACACAACCCCTCTATTTCTAATTTCTTCATTCACTGAGCCATAAACTCAACCAAGTTCCCAATTTCTACAAGTATTGAAGAGAAAAAAAAACTCGCAATCTGAAGATTTAGAAGTGAGGAAGAAGATGAAGAACAATTAGATGTATTTATGCCTTTTGCTTTATTTTTTCTTACCGTTGAAAACCAAAGGTCGTATTTGCAAATCATTCAAATTTTATTTTTTATTTAAACAAAATAAGTTCAGAATTTAAGTTCAAGAAATTTGGTGTTGTTTGAAGGGCCTAATTAAATCAGAGTCTCCAAAATAATGCCTATATTTAGGAACAAGTTTGCATATTTTGCAAAAATCTAAAAATTTAGAGCCCCTCTAAATTTCTTGTTGGTGTTGGATTTTGTTGCACAATTTCTATATTAGGCAGCCAAATGGAATTTAGATACTCCATTGGAGATGCCCTAAGGACATCCTTTAAATTTTAGCTCTCTTTATTTTTTAGATGGATAGCTAAAATTTCAAAATTTAGTTAACCATGAACTAGAAATTTGTCATCGTTGGAGATACTCTTAGTATACGAACACAACAATAAATGTTTATGTAGCACAAATAAAATTAAGGGTAAAATTCATTTCACCGGTGTACTATACGAAAGCTATTAGTTATCTTCCTGATTTATAGAAACCATCAAAAGCCCTCCTGTTTCTGACGGTCAATGAGTAAACTTTTAATGGTGTTTAATTTGAGTGTGCAATGACTCATCTACCCTGCTTTATGTCTGATATAATCCTTAATTTATTTAGTTGCATTTTTTGTGGATTGTTAACGATTTTAGCGAGCGTTCAAATTAGGTTTTTTTTGTCAATTTTATTGTTTGATTTTAGGGGTTCACTACAAGAAAATGCAAAATAGGCAACGATTTTAATAGAATCCTAATATTCTATAATATCTAATATAATAATAATACTCTAATACGCCCCCGCAGTCGAAACGTGACGAACGTGAAGACTGATTACATGAAATATATATATTTATTTAGTTGCTTATGGGTTGATTACATGGAATATATATAGAGAAATAATGCAAGGTAATAGAGTTTGACTAGGTAACTAAATCCTAACTAATCTAGGTAACCGAATCATAATAGAATCCTAATATTCTATAATATCTAATAATATAATATACTCTAATAGATTTCTTTATCGACGAAATTAATTTCGTCACCAATAGTTATATTTTAGCAACGATATATATATATATATATATTATTTGTGGCTAATCGTTTTTGTAACAAGATATTTTTGTTGCCTTTGAATCTCATAGGCAACGAAAAATATTGTTGTCAATAGTATCATATATATTTCGCAACGAATTTCATGAAAGACAACAATTTTATTTGTTGCAAAAGAGTATTTCTTTTCACTACGATATAGACTTGTAGTAAATAAATTTACAATGGAGGTAAACGATGTCCTTGGGGCATTTAAAAAATTTTATGTTTTCTATACATCGGAGAACGATGGTATAAAATGAATATTACCCTACATTTTTTGAAGGATAAAAGAGATAAGTTTTACTTCATCTTAATATATCACAATACTTACCTTTTGATCACCTCTTAATTCTTATGCTTATCTCAAATCGGAAAAAGCAAAACATGAAATTCATAAAGTCAAATACGCCCCTCCCCCTCTCTCTCTCTCTATGTATATATATAAGGTGTATATACACACGCACACACAAAATTGACAACAAAAAAAAAAAAAAAACAAATGGGGTTATTAAAATCTGAATGGATTCTTGTAATAACAGTCCTTTCATTTTATGTATGCAACATAAGTTATCAAGTCCGGGCAAATGAGGTTTGGGATTGGGAGCCAATGGCAACAAATAGTCGGAGTGTGGTTGAGTTAGTGAGATATGCTGTGCGCACACAAAATAGTTTGAGGCACACAGATTACAGAAACAAAGGTGTGGTGCAAGCACAAAGCAGACGTGGCTTTGGTAAAATTGATTATAAGATTACTATCAAAGCTGCCGATGGTGCAAGAAACAATGTTGTCAACAATTATGAGCTATTAATGTATCTTAATACCGTGAATAAAAATAAAATTCTCACTTCCTTTTTAAGAATTTAATAATAATGTAGCTCCCCCGGAGATAATATTTATGTTATGTACGTCCAAAATATATAAATAAAAATGATGAATATCATGTGTCAAAAAAGTTAGCATGATCGGTGATGTATTATTGCAATTTGTAATATGTTTAATCGGCATCTTTTGGTATTTTTTTTACTAAAAAAAAAAAAAAAAGTTGCAGTCTTTGCCTAAATGAAGTGAAATACTCCACACAAAATAAATATTTAATATTCTGGCAAATTATTTATGGCCACCCGAAGTAAAACCAAATTATTATTTTCTCTCTTTTATGCTCGGATGTTATTTTCTCATCTTGCTTTGATGGAGACGTCCATTATAATCACGGGCGGACTCAGGAGGGTTTTTTTTGGACTGAAATATATGGGTAATTTAAGAGAAGAGTTTTATTTTATTTTTGGGAACTAAAGTGTACAGAACTAAAAGTTTGAGGGCCGAAAGTGCATTAACTAATACATAAATAACAAAAAAAAAATACTGCTTAAAAAAAAATTCTTGGGGGGACGGGGACCACCCAAGCCATATGCATGGGTACGGCCCTGATTATAATCCCCAACTCGTCGAGTCATTTCATCTAACTAAGTGGCACAAGATGAATGCACTGACACCTTAGATGATCTAGGATGATCAATCACTTTTCGCTCAAAATGACCTTACCTTGACTGACCGAACTTAAATCTTTTGTCGCAACTTATATTTTAAAATTCATAAGAATTAGTATAAATTCAAAAGCTACATTTCTATATTTTCTATGACCTACATTTTCACTCATAATTTGTATTTGTTGAGTTCCATAAATATAAACATTGTGACTAAATTTTCAATGAGACATGCCTCAGGAACACAATATACTCGTGCGTTTAACATGTCGACATATAACAAATATGTATTATGAGAGTGGTTACAGTTATCCAAATATGATGAGTTTTTTTTTTGTAAAAGGAATGGCCGTAATTTACCCTTACTATTTTTATTTCGGTTCAAAACAACCCTAACTCAAGGCATGCTTAGGAAAAATCTCCCACCCAAAACGTACATATATATAATACAATCCTCGAGGTAATATTCTTAGTTTTTGCCAACAATTGTCCATTCTACCAAAGAAACCATTAATAAAAAAGAAAAAAGAAAAAAAAAACCGATATAAAACAAACCCAACATCATGAACAAGAAAAATCATAGGATTTAACTACACAATCCTTAGTAACCTCAAACTAAATTCTCAACTTGTTCAATACATACAAAACCACCATTTCCTCACAACCTTAGTTCTTACCGTCTCCTACACACTATATAAGCCACTTATCCCAACTCTAATCATTTCCCCCGATTTCGACAAATATGGGATCCCTTTCTAGACTCTCTCGATTCTCCAACGACAATGATTATCGTATTTACGCCCCGTTTTGCTTCAAGAATGCCACACATGATCAAAACACCTCCACCTTCATAGATTGTTACTCTATATCCACTAACTCATGGCATCGAACCACTTCAATCCCAAGTTATGGCGAAAACCTCGTCTTGAAAGACTTTGCAATGATCTCCGTGGGCCACCACATTTACATAATCGGCGGCCGCCTCTGCCGCCGACCGACGGAAAACGATGATGTTTCCGATGCTGAAATAGGGCCCAAGGTTGTCTCATGCGTGCACAGATACAACGTCCGAACGGACCAATGGGAGACATGCTCGCCGATGGCGGAACCGAGATTTAACTTCGCATGCATAGTAAGTAACGGCAAAATCTTTGTGGCCGGTGGACAAAGCACATTGGGTAGTGCAAAGGGAATCTCCTCTGCCGAGGTATATGATATCACTTTGGACCAATGGAGACGTTTGGCCAACATGAGTACCATGAGATACAAATGCGTCGGCGTCGCTTGGCAAGGGAAAATCCACATTGTCGGCGGGTTTGTGGACGGGGGCCCGTTTGTGATGACACGGAGTTCAGCCGAAGTTTACGACCCGGAAAACGACGGGTGGGCATTTGTGGCCCGTATGTGGGAGCTGGATGTCCCCCCCAACCAAATTGTGGCGGTCAATGGGAATCTTTTTAGCTCGGGGGACTGCCTCAAGCCTTGGAAAGGGCATATTGAGTGGTACGATGAGAACGAGAAAATATGGAACGTGGTTCGTGGCTCCCACTTCGACTTCCTATCACCAACGCAGAGATTGTACCTGACAATGACTCCCATTGGGAACCGGTTGTACTTTCTTACGGCGTACAGGTTGTCTGGCGAAGATGCACAGCAGAGGTCGGCGGTTCACGTTTTCGATACGTCGGCTGACAGAAACGGATGGCGTAGCTTTGAGCCGATTGAGGAAGAAGGAGAAAAGTCGCTTTGTGGGCATTGCTGTGTCCTGAAACAAGAATCTTGATCATTTATCAAATTATCGCAGGTGGGATTTTTTTATTGAAGAATTTTATTGCATATTAATCTATAGCATTGCACTAGTTGGTGATAATTTGTGCAATGCAATAGTTGGTGCAATATAATTTGCAATGGAAAAATCTTAAATGCAAGTTATAGGAAGCTGAGGGGCCAAATATATATATGGAGATTAGAAATCTTATACTTGCATTCATGGCAACAAAAATCAAAGAGATTAATAAAACAGAGTAATCGACTTACATATAATAACTCAAATGAGAAGGAAAAGATAGGAAAACGAAAATTCGAGACGGATCGGATGTCATGGAAAACTACGAAAGTAAACCATTATTAAATCTAGTTTCTTATACATGTTAAATGTAGCAACATGTATAAATGTTATTTTCTTCTTCTTTAGTTCTGTTTCGGCTATCTTCGATATTGATTCAACGTTCGTTTACTATTATCTATTTGCTCTCATTCATATAAATGAAATTGTATACGCTTCGCATATTAGAAAAAACGCACTACAAGACATGTGTTATATAACTCTAGAGACCAAAAGCTCGGTAAGTAACAATATTCGGTAGACAAAAAACATTCACCGTATTGATTCAATTTCTACGTTAATATATGACAGCGGCGAAAAACAATCGTTCGGGACAAAACAAAACCTATATATAGGTGAGTCCTTTCGTCAAATTGTACGTAAAAATTTCACCTTCAACTCGGGCATTGTACTATATCTTGCCATGGATATAAAACTATCTTGCAATAGTGCAAAATCTATAAATTAATCAACACCCTTCATCAACTCGCTGGTCCATCATTTTCCACTTGGTACAAGTTTATTATACATATAAAATTATTTACGAATTTGTACAAGTTGAATTATTCATCGAAAAATAATATGCGATTTCACACCAAACATTATAGTAGCTATGAAAAATACACTCAATCAGAAGATGTATCATTTTTCATGCATTTCTTTCGCTCAATGTCGTAATGAGAATATTTGATTTAGAACTGCAAAGCAATGAATCAAACTATTTAAAGATTAGGGTTTTCCAATTTGGGGGATTTTGAAATTACCTGATAAATCAACAGTTGGTGAGTGAAATAGATGCAACGGGGGATTGAAGGTCGTATGGAATGCGAGCTCAAGAGTGAAAGTCGAGGAAAGAACCGACCATGTTGCTGGCTTTTGGACGCATGAGAATTAAAAGACGGTGGCAGTTGCTATATTCAGGGTATTTATTAAAAGAAAAAAAAAGGGTAAATTACACCCACACCCCTGAGGTATACTTAAATAACTTTAAGCTCCCTGTGGTATCGATAATTACACTCACCCCCTTGAAACGTAGTTATAAACTCTAATGGTATAATGCATTGGATACTTTATTACGATAGAGTTCTAACGGACTATTGGTTTCAGAAAGTGGTGGAGACAACAAAGAGTTATGGGTGATTTAAGAAATATTGGGGGAGCCATGTCACCCCATAACTCCCCATAACTCTATGTTATCTCCACCACTAGCTAAAAGTAATAGTCCATTAGAACCCTATCGGAATAATGTATCCAATGCATTATCCCGTTAGAGCTTCTAACTACGTTTCAGGGGGTGAGTGTAATTATCAATACCACATGGACCTTAAAATTATTTAAGCATACCTCAGGGGTGTGGGTGTAACCATAATTTTATCTTCAATGTTTACTAATTTTTAGGCCTCCATTGAGAATATGTGTAGCTTAGAAACAATTGCTATGTTGATGGTATTTATAAAATGTGATAATTTGGGACAACCATCAGCTACAGAATTATATAAAACTAAATATCAAGGTGATTATACCCCTGTTCAGATTCCTTGATTTTTTTTTTTTTGAAATTTGACATATTTCATCGGCTACTTTAAAAAAAAAAAAAAAAATTAGAGCTTTTCATTATGATACAATATCCAAAAGCACATAAGGTAATTCATGAACAAATTTTAGAGATTCCTTGATTTTTTTTTTTTTACCGAAGTTTCCTTGACAAAGTCGCTATTTCGTGGGCTACTTTATTACCATTACACCGAACGTGTTGAGCTCTAAACTTCGGTAAACTTGCTCTCGACCTCTGTCGCTTTAAGAAGGATGAACGATTTTGTTAGTGAATGATTGTTCTCTTTGGAGGACGTGAAATCACTACAAACTTGTGAATCTTGCCTTAAAAGGGAAAATGACCAAGTCACCCCAAAGGGAAAATGGAACGAGCCGAGGGTCTTTTGGATTTGATCCATACAGACGTATGTGGTCCACTAAGTGTTAGTGCGAAGGGTGGATACAACTACTTCGCTACCTTTACCGACGATTATTCTAGGTATGGGTATGTGTACTTAATGAAGTACAACTTCGAAACATTTGAAAAGTTCAAAGATTTTAGACACGAAGTAGAGTAGCAACTCGGACGAAGTATTAAGAAGCTGCGATCCGATTGTGGTGGAGAATACTTGAGCATCGAGTTCATTGACTATGTAAAAGAGAATGGAATACAATCTCAATGGACTCCACCTGGAACTCCTCAACTCAATGGAGTTTCTGAACGTCGGAATAGAACTTTATTAGATATTGTTCGATCAATGATGGGGTTCACGAACTTACCGGCATACTTGTGGGGTCATGCACTTCGCACTGCCGCGCATTTGCTGAATAGAGTTAACACCAAAGCAGTTAAATCTACACCTTATGAACTTTGGCATTCCCGGAAACCCAACTACAAACATATTAGGATATGGGGTTGTCCCGCTTATGTGAAGCGATTAGTGGGAGACAAGTTGGATAGTAAATCCGACTTGTGCTATTTTGTGGGATATCCCGAAGACTCAATGGGATACGAATTCTATTATGTCAAGGAAGCAAAGACGTTTGTTTCAAGAAATGCCACATTTTTGGAAAGGGAGTTTCTATCCGATAGAAAAGGCAATATGATAGAACTTGAAGTAGTTCAATAACCGCAAAGTGAAGTTCAAGCGAAAGAACAAGTAATCGAACCAATACAACAATCCACTAATATACCTCCTGAACCTATGGTACGTAGATCCGAAAGAGTTCGGAAAATGCCGGATAGGTTATTCCTCCTCGAAAATGATGAAGATCATGTTGATCTTGGACAAGATCCAAGCCGGATAGGTTATTCCTCCTCGAAAATGATGAAGATCATGTTGATCTTGGACAAGATCCAAGAACATACAATGAGGCCGTATCGGATGCGGACATGGGACATTGGCTAACTGCCATGAAATCCGAAATGGACTGCAAGTGGATCTATAAGAAGAAAATTGGAGTGGATCTAAGGGAATTGTTCCCATAGGCTGCAAGTGGATCTATAAGAAGAAAATTGGAGTGGATGGAAAGGTATCGACCTATAAAGCTAGATTGGTAGCGCAAGGATATACTCAAAGGCAAGGTGTTGACTATGAGGAAACTTTTTCGCCAGTCGCGATGCTGAAGTCCATTAGGATTTTGCTGGCCCTAGTTGCGTGGTACGACTACAAGATATGGCAAATGGATGTGAAGACCGCCTTCCTTAATGGAGACATTGAGGAAGAAATTTACATGGCGCAGTCGGAAGGCTGCATAGCTTCTGGAAGTGAGAAAAAGGTTTGCAAGCTCCAGCGATCCGTTTATGGATTGAAACAAGCATCCCGTAGTTGGAACATTAGGTTCGACTCAACTATCAAAGAGTTTGATTTTGAGAAGAATCCGGAGGAACCTTGTGTATACAAGAAGGTTAGTGGGAGGGCAGTGATATTTTTAGTGCTTTACGTTGATGACATTCTACTCATTGGGAATGACGTAGGAATGTTGCAACAAACGAAAGCATGGTTTTCCACACATTTCTCATTGAAGGATTTGGGAGAAGCATCTTATGTATTAGGAATACGCATCTATAGAGATAGAGCAAGAAAGATGCTTGGCTTATCCCAAAGCCTGTACATAGACACCGTTATGAAACGGTTTAGCATGGAAGAATCGAAGAAGGGATTCTTGTCAATGTCCCATGGGGTTCGTCTCTCGAAATCTATGTGTCCTCAAACACCTAGTGAAATCGAGGAGATGAAAAGGACGCCTTATGCTTCTGCCATAGGAAGCATAATGTATGGCATGCTGTGTACGTGACCCGATATTGCGTATGCTGTGAGTGTCACAAGCTGATATCAGTCTAACCCCGGTCCAGCTCACTACAAGGCCGTGAAAGATATCATCAAGTACTTGCGAAGGACTAAGGATATATTTTTGGTCTATGAGGGTGCTGAGTTGAAATTAGAGGGATTCACTGACTCTAGTTTTCAATCGAATGTGGACGACTCAAAGTCGAATTCGGGATTTATATTCACGCTTAATAGTGGTGCCGTGTGTTGGAAGAGTTCCAAGCAAAGCACGACGGCTGATTCCACTACCGAAGCGGAATACATTGCAGCGTCCGAAGCTGCAAAAGAAGGGACATGGATAAGGAAGTTCATCCAAGAGTTGGGTGTCATTCCTAATGCTTATGATCCAGTACCGTTGTACTGTGGTAACACCGGAGCCGTGGCGCAAGCTAAGGAGCCGAGATCTCATCAGAAGTCGAAGCATATTCTGAGGAAGTATCATGTGATCGAGAGATCATTGATAGAGGTGAAGTTGAAGTAGAACGAGTTATCTCGAAAGAGAACGTTGCAGACCCCTTCACGAAGCCTTTACCGAGATCGGTCCACGAGAAACATCGAGAGTCGATGGGATTGCGATTCATGGGTAGTTGGCTTTAGGTCAAGTGGGAGATTGTTAGAGTAGGTGACCAACAAGCCAACATGTGGCTGTGGTCTTTCATATTTATTATGGTAATAAACAAACCTTTTTCGTATTAATGATAAAACACATTGGCATTCTATATCTTTGTCCCTTTGTCACAAGCATAGATATAGTCCTTACAGTTATTACAAGTACTAGTAATTGATCGTTAGGATCATGAGATATTTACTTAAGTATTATAACTGTTAAACGTGTTCCTAGTCGAACGGTTACGACACCAATGAGGATATCGGCCTTTCCCATTAAGAGACTAGCACTTAGTGTATGTGTACTGCATCTCATCAGTAAACGGTATTGTGATATCGGCATGCATAAGTGTGTGCTCGTAAGTTGACGAGTTCACTGAACTCCCTCACCCTTGAAATTTCTAAGTGGTTCCCAATAATCGAGGAGAGATATCTGTGGTATAGTTGTACACCATTAGTCCTTATGACCTAGACATCACCGTGACTTCACTAGAGGACCAGCTGTATCGTGACCTGTCCCTGAGTTCCACCGAGGACCACCCCAAAGGCCAGTGTTCGTGCAGTCTGAAATCTAGTGGGAGGTCTGTGCATTGTAGTCGGGGATTCGATCGCTAGAATAGTCTTGGATATCCTGTGTGTTCTTATA